AAAAAAAATCAAAACCTGAGAGATTTTGCAATCTTACAATAAGCTGTGCTATTTTCTCCCTCAGGAAATACAATTTCTTATCGCTCGTCATTAAGAAAAATCATTCAACATTTTGCTTACCATTTAATCTACCTGTCCCTTCCATTCTTCAGAATAAGATTTATTGAATTCAAATAAATTCGTTCATTATATTTGAATAAATGATCACCTCTGACATCTCTGGGTGTCTATTAACAAAAAATCACCTCGTCATTCGCACCTCTAGGAGCCCCAGTTTCTCGTCACTTGTCATCCAAAAGCCCTTGGCCATTTTCGCAACAATCAATCCAACTGCCCCATTTTCCCTTTTCCAGGATGAGATTCTCAAAGCCGCGGTGATGAAATACGGTAAGAACCAGTGGAGTAGAATAGCCTCACTCTTGCACCGAAAGTCGGCGAAGCAGTGCAAAGCCCGTTGGTTCGAGTGGCTGGACCCCAGCATAAAGAAGACGGAATGGAGTCGCGAGGAGGACGAGAAGCTGTTGCACCTGGCGAAGCTGATGCCGACGCAGTGGCGAACGATCGCCCCGATAATCGGTCGAACCGCCGCCCAATGTCTGGAGCGGTACGAGTGTCTCCTGGACCAGGCGCAGAAGAAGGAGGAGGGCGAGGACGGCTCGGACGACCCCCGGAAGCTGAAGCCGGGGGAGATCGACCCGAACCCAGAGACAAAACCCGCGCGCCCAGACCCCAAGGACATGGACGAGGACGAGCTGGAGATGCTGTCAGAGGCGCGCGCCAGGCTGGCCAACACCCAGGGGAAGAAAGCGAAGCGAAAGGCCAGGGAGAAGCAGCTGGAGGAGGCCCGGAGGCTGGCCGCCCTCCAGAAGAGGCGGGAGCTGAGGGCCGCGGGCATCACTGTCAATCAGAAGAACAAACGGAAACGGGGGGTCAACTACAACACGGAAATTCCGTTTGAGAAACGCCCGGCTACCGGGTTCTACGACACCAGTGCTGAGCACATCGACCCTCTGGCTGCGGACTTCTCGAGGATGAGGCAGCAGCATCTGGACGGCGAGCTCAGGGCCGACAAGGAGGAGCAGGACAGGAAGAAGGACAAGCAGAAACTCAAGCAGAGGAAGGAGAACGACATCCCCATGGGGATGCTCAATAATGAGGAGCCTGTGAAGAAGAGGAGCAAACTCGTGCTCCCTGAACCACAGATTTCCGATCAGGAGCTGCAGCAGGTCGTCAAACTGGGTGCGTGGTTATTTCCTGTGGGTTTGGGGATTATTAGGTGGCGGGAATTTTTTTGTTCGTTACGGGTTTTTTTTTTGTTAATTACAAGGGTGAAGTCTTCGATTGAATAAAATAACACTCTTTGGTTTACATTTTTTTATTCGTTTTATGGAAATTAATGATTTTCACGGGTTAAAATGTTAATTCATGAAGTAAATTAATAATTATTTAATTTATAATTGATCAAGCCTCTGCTTGAATCGAGTAAACATCGTAAAAGTAAAAGTAACAAGTGATAAAATACTAATAAAAAGAAAATTTAGGTTTAAACGAAAATTGATTCGGTAAATTTTCGGGGGTAATTAGGCGTCGTGATATTTTAAAATTAATTACAACGATTTTTGTGACTTAATAATTAATAATGTCTTCATTTGAATAAAGTAAAATACCTTGTTTTAAATTTTTCTATTCGTTTTGCCCAAATTAATGGGTTTTACGGGTTAAAATGTTAATTCATGAAGTGAATTAATAATTATTTAATTTATAATTGATAAAGCCTCTGCTTGAATCGAGTAAACATCGTAAAAGTAAAAGTAACAAGTGATAAAATACTAATAAAAAGAAAATTTAGGTTTAAACGAAAATTGATTCGGTAAATTTTCGGGGGTAATTAGGCGTCGTGATATTTTAAAATTAATTACAACGATTTTTGTGACTTTATCATTGATAATGTCTTCATTTGAATAAAGTAAAACACCTTGTTTTAAATTTTTCTATTCGTTTTGTCCAAATTAATGGGTTTTACGGGTTAAAATGTTAATTCATGAAGTAAATTAATAATTATGTAATTTATAATTGATAAAGTCTCTGTTTGAATCAAGTAAATATCATAAAAGTTAAAGTAACAAGTGATAAAATACTAATAAAAAAAAAATTTAGGTTTAAACAAAAATTGATTCGGTAAATTTTTTTGGGATTATTAGGCATCGTGATATTTTAAAATTAATTACAATCATTTTTGTGAATTGTCATGGATAAAGTCTTCATTTAAATTAAATAAATATCCGTGTTTTACATTTTTCTATTAATTTCATCCAAATTAATGATTTTACGGATTAATGAATTCATTCTCTTCACTATTCACACAGCTATTTACCTCCTAATTAATAAAATCTCTACATGGATCAAATAAACATAATTCATTCACGTAAAACTATTCATTTAACAAACAAAAATTGAACCCAAATACAAATAAAATTTATGTTTAATAAAAGATTCATAACTCTTCATTAAAGAAATTCTCCCTTTCAGGTCGTGCCTCAGAGGTGGCTAGAGAAGTAGCCACCGAGAGTGGAATAACCCTCTCGGACAGTCTCCTCGCGGACTACTCCCTCACTCCAAATGCAGCAGTGACCCCTCGCACCCCAGCCGTTACCGACCGAGTCCTCCAGGAGGCCCAGAATGTCATGGCCCTCACCCACGTTGACACCCCCCTGAAAGGAGGCCTCAACACTCCCCTCCACAACGTCGACTTCAGCAGTGTCGTCCCCTCATCCACTGCCATCACCACCCCCAATACAGTCCTCGCGACTCCCTTCAGGTGAGACATAATCATACCCATAATTATAATTATTAACTGCTTATTTATTTATTAAACAAATAGTTTATAATTGTTTTCTTTTATTTTATTTTATATTTATTTTCTCAAATGTTCCACCACGTTATATTTTTCAGTTCCTGTTGTGAACATATTTTTTTTCATACTGAGTTCTCCCCCTAAGAACGATGGATAAATAATAATAATAATAATAATAATAATTATTATTATTATTATTATTATTATTATATTCAAATGAAACAGTTTATTACACCTAAAATCAGTGAATGACATTAAGTAAATTTTACATAGCTGAACTATTTGCAATAAATTCATTTTAATTTCAAGTCATTTAAAAAAATCAAAGATTATTTATTTAACCATCAATCAACAATTCAGATTATCTAGCATATTGTTAATTTTTATCTCCCAATTAACATTATTAAACTTCAATTATTTTGAGAATAACTTTCTCTCAATATTACTGAAATCCTGATAATTATAATTGAAGAAATTGAATTAAACGAATGAATGAATGATTTATTTAGTAAACAAATAGTTTGTAAATGTTTTCTTTTATCCGAGATTATATATATTTTTTTTATATAAAATCAGTGAACGATATTAAATTAATTTAACTTTACTGAATTGCTAGTAATGAATGAATTTTAATTTCGAGTTAGTTCAAGAGATCAAAGATTATTTATTCAATGATCAATCGACAATACAGATTATCCATCATATTTAATTTTTATTTCCGAATGAACATTATTAAACTTCAATTATTTCGAGAATAACTTTCCCTCAACATTACTAAAATCGTAATAACTATAATTGAAGAAATTAAATTGAATGAATGAATAAACGATTTGTTTCATCTGCTTCAGGTCCACCAGGAGTGACGGTACCCCCCTGAACTCTAGCTTCAACACGCCAGTCTCAGCGAGAACGCAGAATGGCATTCTGGCGCCAACACCAGTAAGAGACAAATTGAACATCAATCCAGACTCTGCTCTCGATGGCTCCGAGACTCCAGCCCTGCAAAAACAGACGAAGGAGCAGTTGAAGCTGGGTCTGAGTGCCCTCCCAGCGCCAAAGAACGACTTTCAGATCGTTATTCCTGAGAACGAGTCCCAGGAGGATGGGGCGAGCAACCAGATGGATCTCGGGGTGGAGGACCAGGCGGACGTTGACGCCAGGAAGCAGCAGGAGTTGTTGGAGCAGAGAGCGAGGGAAATAGCGAAGAGATCGCAGGTGATCCAGCGAGGCCTCCCCAGACCCACAGAAGTTAATTTGAATATTCTCAAGCCTGTGGACGTCAGTCTCAAGAACTTGAAGCCAGCCAAGGACTCGGGGCTGACGGACCAGCAGATCGCCGAGGAGTTGATCAAGAGGGAGATGTTGACTATGCTGCAGTACGATGCTGTCCAGAATCCCACGATAGCAAATTCAAAACGTGGAAATGCTCTCGTTTCGTTGGCTCAGAATTACCTGGATCAGCATCCTTACGAGGATTTTGAGAAGGATGACCTCGAGGGGGCGAGGAGCCTCATTTCCGACGAGATGGAGGTCGTGAAGAAGGGGATGGGCCATGGGGAGTTGAGCCTGGAGGCGTATACGACTGTGTGGGAGGAGTGCTCCTCGCAGATTCTGTTTCTGGAGGGGCAGAAGAAGTTCACGAGGGCGAATGTCGCCTCGAAGAAGGAGAAGATCGAGGCTGCCGAGAGGATTTTGGAGGAGAACAGGGGGCACATGACTGGGGCGGCCAAACATGCTGCGAAGAAGGAGAAGAAACTCAAGATTATGACTGGGGGGTATCAGACGAGGGATCAGGTCCTCACGAAACAGCTGCATGACACTTATGAGCAGATTGAACAGGAACAGCTGCAGCTCTCGACTTTTAAGTTTCTTGAGAAGCAGGAGAAGGTGGCACTCGAGAGGAGGCAGAATGCTTTGACTGAGGATGTCAACAGGCAGATTGAGAGGGAGAGGAGTCTGCAGCAGAGGTATGCAGAGCTGATGGAACAGCTGCAGCAGGCGAGGGTCGGCGAGGATTGAGTTGTTGTGTAATTTATGGAATTAATTCATTTGATTGTACTGGGAGATGAGGGGGAATCGTTTTTTATTGTGATGGATGATAAATATAGAGGTTCAAGATTATTGACTGATTATTGGAGCATGTTCCTTTTCTGGGGTTTTAGTTGGATCAAGGGGGGAGTTTCACGACGGGGGTTGAAAAAATCGTTTTTTTTCTTATGGATTATTTTTCTGCGATCATTTAGAAATGAGTACGTGAAGGAATTAGTGGATAATATTGATAATTGTACAAGTTATACAGGTTTTCAGCCGCTGCTGGATATGTAAATTTAGATATATAAACCGCAAGAGGTATAAATTTATTAAATTTTTTTTTTTTAATTTGATAAATTTATTGTATGACATTATTCAGGAGTTTTAATTGAATTAAGTGGATGTCTTCACTGGAATATCTCGGATGCTGTTCTTTCAAGGAAATGTAGTTCAGCTGGAATTTTTTTTTCAAATTCGTCAGGAAGTCGCTCCAAACGGGTATTTGCCCCGGGGTGTTTCGCTCCTCTTGGGAGAGAAGGGCGTAAGTACTGGGGCTGCTCCTGCAGAGGTGCTCCAGGGTCTTTAGCAATGGGTGGATCGACTGAAACCAAAATTTAAAAAACAATTTAAAAAAAAATTTTAAAATATTAATTAATTCCTAAATTAATTTTTTAATTCCTAAATTTTCATGTTTTCAGAAAATTACAATAATTTTATGAAAATTAATTCTGGAAATCTCAAGATATTTTATATAAATCCCTTTAGTGAAAACAAACTAAATTAATCAATGATAATGATAAATTAAATAATCGAATTAAAAATTAAAATTGAGTGATTGAATTTAATTATTACAGATCACATTGTATTGATTTGTAATCGTCCCCTCAATAATTTCCCACTCAATTGCCCTGAACCCCTTACTTTCTCGTAATAAACGCAGTCAGCTAAAACGACAATATCAGGAAGAAAATCTAATTGAAAATCGTTTTCCCAATCAAGAACTTCTGCTCTAGCAGTGCTCAAGCCTCTCCACTGGTCCTCATTCATCGATATATTTTTCCGGAGTATTGGCATGGTACTCTGGAGGTCTGTCATCACCACGTGAGCCCTGAAATGTCAAAGAATTGCGTGAAATTCATTATGAGAATTGAATTAAATTAGTGGAAACACTGACCCTAGACAGGCTGCAGTCATGCCCACGCACCCGGTCCCAGCCCCCAGCTCCAGGACCTTCTTCCCCTTGAGGAAGTTCTCCCCAGGACCCTTGTCATTGCACTGGTGATCCAGGTACTTGGCTAGGACCAACGCCGCGTCCCAAACCACACAGCTGACGTCTCCAACTTTATATTGGTACAGTGTCAGCGTTTTTTTCTCTGTTTCCACGTCGAAAATACGAGTGAATACGTCACTCTCCATTGTTCATGGATAAAAATAGCTAGAGACTATGTTAAATGACATTTGAATACAAAATTTTCGGGAAGACTTGCAGATTCGGGAACTATAGCCCGAATAAAGTGCAGTTGTGAAGTGGTAAAACAGGATGGCTCAAAGTTAAAATGTTTTTTTTCGAAATATCTCAGAATTGAGAGGAGATACAGAAAAAATCATGATAACCTTTTTTGTAGATCTCAGAGCAGTCTACAGAAAAGATCATTATGATTTTTTCTGTATATTCCACCGATCCCAAGATATTCCCAAAAAACCCCTCTACGGTTTGTTTTGGATGATAAAACAGACTTCAAATCAGTTTTTCGAAAGAATCTCGTAAATGAAGCTAGATATCGAAAAAAACATCATGACCTTTTTGACGGGAAAAAACAAGATCTACAAAAAAGTTCTTATGACATTTTCTCTACTTCCCCTCATTATCAAGTTATTTTCAAAAAACAATTTCCCTTTTGCTTGAACGGTAAAACAGTTGCCAGCTCACTTATTCCAAAAAATCTCAGAACCGAAGCTAGATATCAAAAACCTCCTAATAACCTTTTTTGTAGATCTCCCCCTGCCCCCCAAAAAAGGTCCTCACCCCCTTCCCCCTAGCCCCCGTCCGGCCCGAGATATTCCCAAAAAACGAATCCGCTCCCAGCGAGAGCCCCCACCAGAGGTCTCGCCCTCCCAATTCGCCGGCATTTCAAGTTCCCGAGGTTATGTGCCCTTCAAACCCACCTGGCGCCTGCCAGTGCTCCGCCAGCCCCTGGCAATGCGCACCCCAGTGATCACCAAGTGCAAAAACCAATCCTAAACCCCTGCCGAAGTGTTGAACCCTCAAAAATGTCTCAAAAGCCCCCCAATACCGGGAAGGACGTCCTCTTCCGTCGAATGCTGATGGCAGTGGTCTCCAGCATAATAGTGCAGTGCCTGCTGATGTCCCTGGTGGTGCTGCTGACGCACCTCTCGCCGACGAGGCCGCTCTCCTGGCTAGAGGAGAGCCTCTCCCTGGTGACGTCCCTGAGCACCTGGTGCTACTTCCTGATCCTCTCAGCAGTGATCGTCCTCCAGGGTGTCGTCTGCAGCAAGAGCTACCTCACATCGCCGCCTCTGTTGGACACGAGGTTCGCAGTCCTCTGCAGCGTCTTCACCCCCCACAACCTGACAGTGGTCTCCCTGCACCTGACGATCGGCGCGATCCTGGTGTGGCTGCACCTCTCCTTCGAGGGCAGCCTGTCCCTCTCAAAAAAATGTGAAACCCTCGCTGGCAACTGCCTCAGAGAGGACTACGTGTACCTCCTGCTGTCGGGGGTGTTCACAGGCGCCCACCACTTCCTCAGGAGCAGCTTCTTCGAGACGAGGCACCTGGAGTTCCCGGTGATACCGCAGGGCAAGTTCACGCAGGTGAGGCGAGAGATGTCTCGACTGATCCCCAGGGTAATGACGACCGCAGTCTGGCCTGTGATGTACTTCCTGGGGCTGTACTACAGCTTCGGGGGGTGCGTCAGGGGTGTCGTGGCCCCCGTGCTCTTCCTGAGCGTCGAGGACGAGCCCCTGGACAGGGTCTCCCGCCTCGTCGACGTGCAGCTGATGTTCAGGGTGTGGCTGTACAGCGGATTCTTCTCGCTGACGATGGAGAGCATGCACCTGCTGTTCCAGGTGCACCTGACCGAGTGGATGGAGTTCGACGTTGGCCAGAGGGTCTACGAGGAGCGAGCCTCGATGAGCCTGGGGGAGGCCCTGGCCCTGGAGGAGGTGCCCATCATGCAGCAGCTGGGGTTCCTGGACCTGGTGACGCTGGCCCAGAAGCAGAAGAGCAGGAGGGGGATCATTTTCTCGTTGAGCCAGCCTGGGGGCCACCCCTACAACTGGAACTGCATCGTGGACAGGTGCCTGGGGGTCGCCAGGGGGTTCGCAAAGAGGGTGGAGGAGGTGTGTGCTGCCAAGCAAGAGGTCGTCGTCCCCCTGAAACCCGTCGCTGCCACCCTGGAGAGACCCTACGCCTTTCACATGAGGAACCTGGCGAGGGTCGAGAGCCCTGAGAGAGCCCGGGGGAGCTGCCCCCAGCCCCTGCCATCCACTGGACAACTCATCCTGGAGTTCGTGAAGAGCAGGAGACAGAGGATCGTGGACTACGTGATGTCGAAACCGTTGGTCTTCTACTTCTTCGGGGTGAGGAGTGACAGCAAGATTCGACATCTTCTGGTCACGGGGCAGTCGGTGATCTGGGCTGTCGAGGCCATCTCCTCGCTGGCGGTTATTTCCCTGCGGGAGGATTCTTATGGGATTGTGCAGAAGGACCTGCCGGGGATGATCGAGGCGCTGCTGGGGCTCAAGCAGGCCTTGGACAAGCTGCATAAGATGAGCCTGTTGAGCAGGAAGCCGCAGCAGGACGACAGGGAGATTAGGTATTTGTTGGGGGCGTTGAGGAGTGCTGATAAGAGGGGGATTTACAGGATTGTTGTTGCGTTCAGGGAGTATTTTGAGGATCTCGCGCTCGATCAGGGGGTCAGGGATCAGCTGCAGGGATTTTTTTCGTTTAGAGAGTGAATGTTGAATTTTTGGGATTAGCTAATGCCTTCTCTATTGGAATTTGTATTTATAGGATATTTTTGATATTCTTAAATATGATAAGGGATTATTCTTAAGTGTATTTGTACCTCATTGTTTTCTATGAAATAAAATGTGTCAATTTTTGCGTAAAAATTTGCTTTTATTCATTTTTTCCCCAAAATGTTATCAGTAAATAATTAAATTGTCATTAATTCAGTTCAAAAATTTATTTGTCAAATTGTATTTTACACTATCTTAACATCCATTTCATTCATTTATTTTCATCCATCTCATAGTTTCTTCAAGTTCTCCATAAGATGTTGAGTGAATAAATGATTGATCATTAATTAAATTCAAAAATTTATTCATCAAATTGTATTTTACATTCTGTTAACATCCATTTCATTCATTTATTTTCATCCACCTGATAGTTTCTTCGAATTCTCCATAAGATGTTGAGTGAATAAATAATTCATCATTAATTAAATTCAAAAATTTATTTATCAAATTGTATTTTACATTCTCTTTACATCCATTTCATTAATTTATTTTCATCCATCTGATAGTTTCTTCGAGTTCTCCATAAGATGTTGAGTGAATAAATAATTGATCATTAATTAAATTCAAAAATTTATTTATCAAATTGTATTTTACATTCTCTTAACATCCATTTCATTAATTTATTTTCATCCATCTGATAGTTTCTTCGAGTTCTCCATAAGATGTTGAGTGAATAAATAATTGATCATTAATTAAATTCAAAAATTTATTTATCAAATTGTATTTTACATTCTCTTAACATCCATTTCATTAATTTATTTTCATCCATCTGATAGTTTCTTCGAGTTCTCCATAAGATGTTGAGTGAATAAATAATTGATCATTAATTAAATTCAAAAATTTATTTATCAAATTGTATTTTACATTCTCTTAACATCCATTTCATTAATTTATTTTCATCCATCTGATAGTTTCTTCGAGTTCTCCATAAGATGTTGAGTGAATAAATAATTGATCATTAATTAAATTCAAAAATTTATTTATCAAATTGTATTTTACATTCTCTTAACATCCATTTCATTAATTTATTTTCATCCATCTGATAGTTTCTTCGAGTTCTCCATAAGATGTTGAGTGAATAAATAATTGATCATTAATTAAATTCAAAAATTTATTTATCAAATTGTATTTTACATTCTCTTAACATCCATTTCATTAATTTATTTTCATCCATCTGATAGTTTCTTCGAGTTCTCCATAAGATGTTGAGTGAATAAATAATTGATCATTAATTGAATTCAAAAATTTATTTATCAAATTGTATTTTACATTCTCTTAACATCCATTTCATTAATTTATTTTCATCCATCTGATAGTTTCTTCGAGTTCTCCATAAGTTGTTAAGCGAATAAATGATTGATCATGAATTAAATTCAAAAATTTATTTATCGAATGGTATTTTACATTTTCTTAATATACTGCACAACACTCAGATTATAATACAATTTTTCCCTGAGTGTAATCCAGGATTTCAACTGAATACCCTGCAGTTCACCCAAATACCTCCACAACTCCTTCTCCTGCTGGATCTTCGTGCCATGAACCTTCAGAAAAACCCCCAAATACGCCTGAGACAGTTCAAAATCCCTCCTGCTCTCCATCATCCACTTGATCATCTTCATAAACTGCAGCATGATCAGCGTCGAGCAAGAAGGATCCAGCGAGAACGACTGGATTTCAAAGTCTATCGAACTGGGCCCGAGTTTTTTGATCCTCGAAATGACTTCAGAGAAGTCGTCACTCTCAACTGTATTCTTCAATAGCCTCCCGAATGCTGTGAGATTGCTGAAGTCAGAGGGANAACATCCATTTCATTAATTCATTTTCATCCATCTGATAGTTTCTTCGAGTTCTCCATAAGTTGTTAAGCGAATAAATGATTGATCATGAATTAAATTCAAAAATTTATTTATCGAATGGTATTTTACATTTTCTTAATATACTGCACAACACTCAGATTATAATACAATTTTTCCCTGAGTGTAATCCAGGATTTCAACTGAATACCCTGCAGTTCACCCAAATACCTCCACAACTCCTTCTCCTGCTGGATCTTCGTGCCATGAACCTTCAGAAAAACCCCCAAATACGCCTGAGACAGTTCAAAATCCCTCCTGCTCTCCATCATCCACTTGATCATCTTCATAAACTGCAGCATGATCAGCGTCGAGCAAGAAGGATCCAGCGAGAACGACTGGATTTCAAAGTCTATCGAACTGGGCCCGAGTTTTTTGATCCTCGAAATGACTTCAGAGAAGTCGTCACTCTCAACTGTATTCTTCAATAGCCTCCCGAATGCTGTGAGATTGCTGAAGTCAGAGGGAATCAACAATTTGCTGTTTTCGTTCTCCTTCGGGGTCTCCGATAAATCGAATTGAATATCTAGTGATGGAATCGTCGGGAGGAAGAAGGGAGCTGCCTCTGGGACCTTGGGGGGCTCCTTGGGCTTATTCCTCTTCTTCACGATATCGATGTTCAACAAATTCTGCCATTTGGAGTTCGCGAGTGACGACATTGTAATGAGATTGGAATTCAGCTGCTCGGGGGACGCGTATTCGTCGTCTTCCTGCTCTGCTGAGTCGACCTCAATCGACTCGATGTTGTCGTTCTGCTCTGAAGACGAGCCTGGGAGAGTTATCACGGGAATCGGAGTGTTTGGAGTTATTGCTTTCAGGGATACGTGAGTGAAGAGCGTTTTGTTGGACCAGAGGTAGACTCCGAGGTTGCTGATGTGGGAGGTGACGAGGTAATCACCTGTTGCTGAGAAATCTAGGGATGTGCAGGCCTCTGGGACCTGAATAATTATAAAGAAATGCATTCGTTGACATCAATTGTTTTCTAATTTTTTTTTATCGAAATGACGATTTGTTTCTTATAGTATTGACGAATTTATACTTCAGGGAGAACAATTTTTAAAAGTGTTATTTCAGTTGTTCATTTTTTTTTCAATTTTCATTTTTTAGTGTCGAAAATGATCATTTGTAAATAATTGAATTTTATTATTATTACTACTACTACTACTACTATTAAAATAATAATAATAATAATAATAATATAATAGTAATAATTGAATTTGAACTTTTAAACAAAATAACAATTTTTTAAAATTACATTGATGAATGATCTAGTGGAAATCAATCAAAAATATTGTTTATTCCATGTTTATACTTTATGTTAATTAATATGTTTTTTTCAATGGAACTAATTATTTATTTATTAAAATTGATGAATTTCTATTTCACTGAGAACGATTTTTAAAAGTGCTTCTTCATTCATCCATTTATTTTTATTGAATTGGAATATTCTAGTGTCTAAAAATGATAATTGAGAGATTCATTAAATCACAATTTATTCACACAGAATGCACAGCAAATTAGAATAAAAATGTTCTTCCCTGTAGTTAAAAAATAGATCGAGTGAATAAAAAAATGGAAATTACCTGAAAAACATCAACGAGTTTGGCAGAAGGAACATCCCAAGTTCTGATGGTAGAATCCATGGAAGCTGTGACGAGCCATCTGGAATCCGGGCTGAAGGTGGCATCGGTCAGATGCCCAGTGTGACCCCTAAAGTGCCTGACAACTCGTCTAGTATCGAAGTCAATCAGTATCACACTGAAGTCGTCGAGAGCCAGGGCTATCAGGGAGCTCTCTCGATGTGTCCTGAGCCATTTCACAGGTTCACTCAGTGTTATCACTGTTTTTGGTCCAGTTCCTAAAAAAATCGAGACAATTGTCATAAATCCTCAATCATCATTCAACAAGTCATTCATTCGTATTTACATTTACATTTACAAAAGAAAACCCATTTTTTAATGGAAAATGGCTATTTGTTTAGCAAAATTGTTGAATTTATGATTTATAAAGAGCAGAGAAAATAAATAATTTATTTTTTCTGCTCTAAAATAAAGCGTAAATGCAAATAAACAGATAATATCATTCAACTTTAATTTTGAAAAATAGATATTTTACATTATCAGGAATTAATGTTGTATTGTTAAATACAAAATTACCCTTTCCAGACTGGAACCCCCAGAACTTGATCTTCCCATCTCTCCCAGCAGTCACTACTTCCTGGTTCAGAGGATCCACCATCACCCCCTTCACTGGGCCCTCGTGTGCCCCTTCTTCTCCTCCGTACGTCATTCTATGAATTCCACTCTGAATATTGAACCTGTCCACGTGCCCTGTGTTGTAGCCAACCACCACGAAGTTCCCACAGTGGGTCAGGAACAAACTCGTGGCATTAGCTTTATAATCCTTTTTGAATCTGTAATATATCGAGTTATTTATGAACGAGAATTTATTTTATCATTTTAAAAATGTAGAAATAATCACATTTGCATGAATCGTGATCTCAAATCAATTATGAGTATTGAATTATCTACATTTTTATTGAGTTTTTTACTAAGAAAAATTAAAATCTTCTTTTTTGAGGAAATCTCATACATTTTTCATCACTTAAATTTGGTTGCTCTTGTTTATACTCGATAATGCCTCTTGGAAATGGCTTTTCTATTGATTTCTATTGAACTTCTATTAGGTTGTCGATTCTACTGATGAATTCTACAGTTTTACTGTGTTTTTCATATAAAAAAAATATTCTATAGTCAAAACCCGTCTACAGAAATTCCTAAGACCATAATTTCCTCAATATTTTCCACTTTTTTTTCTTTTAATTAAAAAAATCAAATGCAATTTTGAAACACATTGATCAACGATGAATCAACAGCTCAGTCTCATCACAAAAGACAGAATGATGCATTCGACATAAAAAAATCCAATTTCATCAAAAAAAGAAATTAAACTAAATGCCAGCAAACCTCATAAATTTTCTGCGAGCTAAATTTCATTTTTCTTGTTTATACTCCATAGTGTCCCTTGAAAGTGGCCATTCTATTAATTTCTATTGAACTCCCATTAGTTTATCTATTCTATCGAACAATTCTGCAGCTTTACTGTGCTTTTTCATATAGAAAACGCAAAAAAAAAACATTTTACAGGAAAAATCACAGAAATTTGATCTTTCTATACGACTTTTTCTACAGAAATTCCTCGACAAGAATTTTTCAAGTATTTTCCCCTCTACTTTTCTTCCCTTTTAATTAAAAAAATCAAATATGATTTCAAAACCCATCAATCAACAACAAACCAACCCCTCAGTCTCCTCCCAAAAGAAAGAATGATGCATTCGACATAAAAAAATCCCATTCCATCAAAAAAAGAAATTAAACTAAATGCCAGCAAACCTCATAAATTTTCTGCGAGCTAAATTTCATTTTTCTTGTTTATACTCCATAGTGTCCCTTGAAAGTGGCCATTCTATTAATTTTTATTGAACTTCCATTAGTTTATCTATTCTATCGAACAATTCTGCAGCTTTACTGTGCTTTTTCATATAGAAAACGCAAAAAAACATTTTACAGGAAAAATCACAGAAATTTCATCTTTCTATACAACTTTTTCTACAGAAATTCCTCGACAAGAATTTTTCAACTATTTTCCCCTCAACTTTTCTTCCCTTTTAATTAAAAAAATCAAATATGATTTCAAAACCCATCAATCAACGACAAACCAACCCCTCAGTCTCCTCCGAAAAAAAAACAATGCATTCGCCCCAAAAAACCCCATTCCCCCCAAAAAAAATACCAAACCTCTTCGGCAGTATCTTGTGCTCCCCCATCCTCAACTTATCATACGACCAAGTGGTGACGACGCCGAGCCCCAGATGAGCAGCAGCGATGTTGTCCCACTCCTTCTCCCTAGTCTTCTCCACCGCGAGTTCAGTGATAGCAGGCATGACCAGATTATCCTCCACGCCCCTGCCCTTCTTCTTGGACGCCTTCCTGTGGAACGAGGCCCTCCCGAGGCTCTTGTTAAACGTCTCAGTGACCGTCGAGAAGATCCTGAGTGAGGAGTCCCCCCCAGCCGCGAGGATGTTGTGCCCATCGAGTCCATAGAACCTCACGAAAGTCGGGGGCTCTGAGTGTCCCTCCCTGACCCTCAGGAGCCTGGCGGCGCCATCCGCCAGATCAAAAATCCAGAGCTTCAGCGAATTATCCGCGGAGTTGGTCACCATCAGGGGCTCGTTGGAGAGACACTGGAGCCCCGCGACAGCTGCGTAATGCGCGTTCATCACCTGGCTCTCCACCTTCCTCTCCTCGAGGTTCCAGAGGACGACGTGGCCCTGAGGGGAGCCCGTCGCCATCACCGGGTTCCCGTCGCTCCTGAAGGATATCGACGTCACCATTCCCCAGTCCTGGACAACCTCGAATATCGTGACATCAACCTTGATGTTGTGCATTTTAATTCTGCCATTCGCCAGGCCAATTGCCACCACGTCGAGGGCTGGCGCCTGCTCCAGGGCCGTCACTGGGGAGCCCCAGCCGTCGAACGTGTAGATCATCCTCACGGTCTTGAGGTTCCACAGCTGCAGGTGGCCCTGATCACTCCCCAGGAGGATCTTGTTGACGTACGTGCTGGGGTGAACCACTTTCGTGATCTTGAAGACGCTGTTGCTGAAGTTCAGGGTGAGAACCTCCTCCTCGGTTTTTATGGAGAAGAGCTTGAGGGTGCTCTCCTCGTCGATGGAGATGAGGTGGGGCCCGAAGGGGAGGAGCACGTGCACCGGGTGGCTGTGGCCTCTGTACGTGTGCTTCAACTCGTTCCCTCGCCTCCAGGCGTAGATCGTCGTCTCGCTCGAGGTGTAGACGTGGTAGGCGTCCCCGGAGAGGCATGTTATGGCGTCGGGGTGCGCTCCGGAGACACTCAGCAGGGTGAAGTGGGCACTGCCGTACGTGTGGAAGGCTCGACCCACGGATGTCACTATGAGGGTCTCCTTGCGACGGTGGATGTAGCGTGTTAGCAGTGGCGTGTGGTCGCTCACGTAGCCGAGGGCACGGTTCCGGGAGAAAATCTTGCTTTGGGACATTCTTGGGGGTTACTCGTGGACTCTGGGGACTTTGCGACACATTATCGGGGGCCGGGGCTGCTGCGGTGGCCCACGTGGGTTGTTGTTGTTTTCACTTGGGGGTTATGTTCGATTTTTTTTGGATTTGTGTGGTGGAGTCGAGAGGGAGCCACTGGGGAATTCCAATTTCCCAATGATGAGGCATGGGAGCGAAGGGAAGAATTGCCCTTCTTATTGAAAAAAAAAATGATACAATTTCATTAACAATTCAATAAGTCATTAGCATTTGGAAAAAACTAAAGTGTCCATTTTACCCCATCGCCCCCTATTTCGTTTCATTCATTTTCCCTCGGGAAGATTATCCCTTTGTTCATTTCAGGTGGGAAATGGTCGAAGAGTTTAAGGAGATTGTGGCTGTTGGCCAGTTTTCCATGAATACCGCGAAATCTAAGGGAAGTAGCAGGATTTTTCTCATAACCTTTTTTGTAGAGCGAACCGAGATCTGCAAAAAAGGTTAAGACAACAAATTTGCTATCTCCCTTAGATTCCGAGATATTCAGCGAAGACTGGTCAATAGTCGAAATTGACTTGTACCGTTTTACCACTTTGCTGATGAATTGATTTCTGCTGTTCCTGACATTTCTTTTTCAGTCTGAAACATCAAGTTCTTTCGGACCTCATTAGGAAGAAGAACCTTCTGTCAATATCAAATGAATCATTTCGAGTCGAACCTTCTCTCTTTCTGTTATTGTCTATCTGGTTTTTTGGAAGAGTTGGGTTGAAAGCCCCAGATAATTGAAGTATCATTTCAGTTATTATTTAATTGAAATTTCACTAGAATTGCCTTTAACAGGGGCGCTGTTGTCGGGGTGACAACTTTTCAAGAGAAGGAGTGTTGCGTATTTGCTCTTTTCCTCCCTCTCGCCTTTCTCATTATTCTTTTCTCTTGATTTATGTTATTTTTTTTATATTTTATTTTATTTCTTTACATTTTTTTTGTCTTTATTCCGTCCCGAAATCTTTAATAAACAGTTATTTATTTATTAAATATACCCATTCTTTACAATAGTTGAAGGATTCAGGGATTCAACGAGATATACTAAGCACGAAAATACTTACAGCTTGACAACAACTCCATCCCTAAAATATCCACTCAATGATGAATCAGATCAGGAGAAAATAGTAAAAACCTCATGAGATGAACAGCAATTTCTATATTATGACAGTTCTCTTTGTACTTTGGTACAGTTAACGTCACTCACGTTCAAAAGAATTAACTTAATACGATAATTACAATACATACGAATATAACAAATTCATCTAACTCAAATTAGGGGAATTTATTTATAACGAAATTCTCTCACTCAGCATTAATCATCCTTTTTGCTGCCTTCAATAGCTTTAACAGGGGCACATGTCCCTGAATTCTCAACAGATTTATTTTTCTCGTCACTCGAAGCCTGGCCCTCCATTTCCCCGGAGAAGCCAAACTCGTTGACCCTCGAATGATCAATTTTGTATATCCAACGTTGATACAAAAATATAAAGAACACTATATCATCGCGGAAACAGCCGAGTCGATAGAGCGTCGGCATTTTAATGACAAAAGCGAATATATCATCGATAAATGTATTCAAGAATTTATAAGACATCATTCTCCACGGCAGATGTGCAACACTCTTGAGTTTATAATTAATGAATAGCTGTGGTGTCATCATGATGAACCCAAATGTCAGTAAAAATCCGTAAAGCATGTTTAAAACCCACGAGTACCAGCCTTTATGCTCCAAATACATGAGTGAGTAAATGGCGTAACCACCGAGAAGTGGGTAGAGTGCCCAGGATAGATATTTAAATGCTAGTCTGTCGTACTCTTTAGTGGAAGACTCAACGTACGATCCTTTGTCACGGAATGTAACTCTTGGAAATACTCCCAACACCTTGGGACTCTCTCGGTCGAGGCTTATGTCTACTACCTTATTTATCTTCCATATTTCGATGCACAGACCTATTCCACAACTTATACGGACTAGGGTATTTGTTTCGTTATCTAAGACGTATAGAAGCACTACTAGCGATTGAAAGACGTTGAAGAAGACTGATCGGACTGATAATCCTTCCAGGGATTTTCGGTTGTTCCAGAATTGAATGTCTGAAATAATTCGAATTTTTTTAATTATTCGGCGGTTGAAAGAAGCAGAGGGAGAAACCAAGGAGAGGGCAAGGAGGGACAGGAGTAGCTGAGAAGACAGCAGTGTAGGAATAAGGGGGGATGTATAAAAATGAGAAAAGCAACAATTAAGTGAGGACTAACAGTGATAATAGATATTAACTAATCTAAAGCAGAATTAAGATGAAGGATAACAGAAAATGAACAGAATAAATTTTATATAACTGATGTTAACCGATTATTAAGGAGAGGAGGAGGACTACATAGGTGTAAAACAAAGAAAAACATTTGTAACGCCAAAGAGATGAATAAATAATAAATAAATAGTTATTTGGCGGTGATTAGTTGGGTATTATTTTTTTGAGGGAATTCTAATAAATTTCTATTCGATTTTTGATATGAATTCTTGGGAAAGACTGCTCTGAGTATTTTTTCTTGGATTTTGTATCTAGGGCTTGTTAAAATAAATTCAAGTGTTTCTTCTTAAATTGCTTTCGAATGGAAGCATTGTATTCGTAAAATCTAAAATTTCATTCTTTTTAGTGTGACGACTAATTTTGGTCTCGGGAGTTCGAATAGGCTGTTTTTAAATCATGCCCGTATGTATGTGAGCTTTTTTTCAAATTTAGTTATTCGACGATCATTCAAAAAATAATCGTTGCAATCTTTTCAATTATGGCTTAAACGATTCGTTTGGGTATTTCTCGGTCAAGTTTATATTCTTAGTATAATTCTTCTAATTCTTGAAATATTCGGTCAATGATAGCCTTAAAAAACATTTAATCGAGGTTTAATCGAGGATTAGTCGGAGTTTAATCAGGGTTTAACCCAGTTTAATTTTAATTTAGTCGCCGTCTGTTAGATGTTAGGACACATGAAGCTCATATTAAACGAATTGCTAATTTTTAGCAAAAAAATTATACTTGATTTAGATCTGTGCAATGGGCCACTTGCTTTGTAATGAGAGAAAAGCTCTGCGGGAGAGATACTATAAAAACTTCACACATGAAATACTTTCATAGAAAAATCCAGGAGCTTTTTAAAGAAATTCTACTCAATTTGAATTCAGTAGCGAAGTGGTAAAAGGAGATAAGTCAATTTTGTCAATAGTTTTGTTCAATATCTCGGAATCTAAGGGAGATGAGAAAATTTTTGTTATAACCTTTTTTATGGAGCCGATTGAGTGCTACAACAAATGTAATTACGAAAATTTCGCTATCTCCCTTAGATTCGGAAATATTCCTCAAAAACTCAACTGGGAGATAAGTCGACGTATCTCCGTTTACCACTTCACTACTGAATTGAACTTCTATAAGAATTCTATCGAAATGAATCTGTTTTTTCTCGGATTTTCTAATGAGAAAAAAAAATAAATACATTTTCCCCATTGACTCACCATTTTTAAACGCCAAGAATTCAAAAATACTGTGCAGAATGGACACAAAGATGGTCATCCCCAGCAAAACGGGATTGGTCTCTAGAATAGTTTCCTTGAGTGTATCCTGATCATTATCCTCCTCGTCAGCGGCCTCCCCCATCAGCGAGGACGTCCACTTGTTCCTCATGGACTGCGCCGAGTAGATCTGCCACTTGAACAGGGAGAGTGGCTGATAAGTGAGATGCAGCTCCAACGTCTTGACACTGTCATTCAGAGGCTGGTAGTCCCTCTGCATGTTCCAGAAGTCGTTGAGGTGGATCACAGGCTTGTAGGCACTGCCCCCCTTGATGAACTCGATGGACTCGTCGAGGGGTGGGGGCACCTGCCCGTGCACCCAGTTGGTCTGATCGGTGACGAGGTTGATGGTGATGTTGGGGTGCCAGTGGGAGACAATCTCCTGGTCCATGGTCTCAGCTTTCTTGATTTCCTCAGCTGTCGCTGTCGTCTCGCCAGTCAGCAGATTGTGCCGCCTCTGGTAGCGGATTTTTTTGAACTTATTCAGCATTTTTTTCACGTAACAGTAGGTGCTGTTGCTCCCCCGGAAGCTGCTGCTGTCGTCTGTCGTCTGGGAATTTTTCCTCTTCGTCGCGTAGACGTGAATGTAGATCGAGCCGTTGTTGACGAGTCGCTTCGAGGGCTCGAAGGTGTAGTCCATCGTGCGGATTCCATCGCTGGTGGGGCCGGAGTACCAGTCCCCGTAGATGAGGTTCCTCTCGTGCCAGACTAGGTGGTCCAGGGCGCGATCGTCCTGGGAGTTGAAGTCCTCGGACTCCGAGAGGAAGACCCAGAGGTCGAAGGCCGTGCCGTTCTCGAAGATGTTTACTGCGGGGAGGCGAGCTCCTGGGGCTGAGGCCCCCAGGCTCGAGGAGGCGGGGTCCGTTGGGGCGCGTCTGAAGAAGGAGGTGATGAAGTAGATGATGAGGGATCTTACTATCAGGGACTTTGCCACCGCGAAGAACGACTCCCATCGGCTCGGCTGGTTGTTCGGGCGGGCTGAGGGGTCCGACTCGTTCACCACCTGTGGGGCACACTCGTGGGGTGAGGTTTAGGGATTTTCGAGGGGTTCGGCTATTTTTTCGAAAGCCAGAGCCCCATTTAAAAAAAAATTATTTGGTGTATTAACCTACAGTGAGTTATTTACGTTTACTTGAAATGTACGAAAATTATACAGGAAAATACGTAGTTATCTTAAATTCTGATTTTACATTTTTTATAAACGACGAATGTTTACAAAAATAATAATGCGGTGCAAAATGTTATTTGAATGACGTTGAATATTCATGATTTTTTAAAAATTTTTTACGCAATTTAATTAACAAATTTGATGATTGCAGGGATGATAAAATTTATTAGGAAAACCTAGCAAATTCGCGAGACAATTCTATTGCATTTCTATTGAAATGTTCAATACAAAATATTTAAATTCAATTTTGCTCTGGAATTTATTCTATTCAAATTTTTTTTATAGAATTTTCTCGATTCAAATTTTCAAAGTTTTTGTTGAAGAGAAGAAAAGAAAAATAGAGTGAAACGAATTAAAAAATTCGACGCGAGGAAATTCTATAGGAATTTGTCGACATGAATTTTCTAAATTATTTTCTCTCTATTTTCCCTTTCTTTTTATTTTTAAAAAACCACAAAAAACTTAAATATCTCAATATAATAAATTTTACAGAAAAATCAAATTGTATTGATTTTTTCTGTGAAATATTTCCCACTGAAAATTTCTCTTCCGAAAAAACGGCGATAAACTGCAAAACTTTCCTATAGAATCATCCAAAACTAACAGAAAATTCCATGAATTCCATTAATTTTTTCAACTCCTAAATTTTTAAATTTCAACTATTTACATTGGCGCACCCAATGGCGGGGAGGGGTTTCCCCTCAACCACGTGATCATCACCATCATTACGAATCCCCCCCACACTCAAAAAAAACCTCAAAATACAAGAAAGACATGACTGAAAACCCCTCATTTTCCCTCCCAGAATCAATGAAACATTCTCACCTGATTGTCCCCATTATTATCATTATCTCGTGCGAGTAATTGACCATTGTCACGTTGATCCGCCATGGAAATGTCGCTCGTGACAGTATCATCAACTTCACGATGTCTCTATTTTCCAGCCGAATTTTATCTCAACAATCTTCACCTGAGGTTCACCAATCCCCGGACGATCTACTGTCCGTTATTTCGGTGACTCCTGGGCCTCCGGTCCTCGACGAAAACTCCGCGAGTCACGGGGAGTGACGATGACTCCCCAATTTGGCCCCTCGAATTTTCCGTGATTATAAAAAAACCACTGATTGACCGGAAAATCCAGTCCCCAAGGGATTTTATTTGCGATAAATTCGGAAGTCCGGGGAGAGAGAACTTGTCGGGACTCCAAAAGGGAGTGCGACTGGTGACGAGAGGAATTCACTCCGAGGTCGAAATTTCAAGAGTTTTTTTTTTAATTCCACGTGGAGTTTTGGGGGTTTAGAGGGGAGTCACTTTCTCGTGATTGGAACGAGGGCTCAATGTTAAAATACGAAGAATACGCGAAGCACTCGAGACTCAATCACAGTCGGCTCGATCACAGTTGAGTATATTTTGTGTTTTTTCAGCGCTCTGACAACCACTTGGTGTGAAGAAGAAAAAAGACAGCATTTATTTTAGCCGAGGTTACTAGCTACTGCCACCCTGCGTAATCGGAAAGTCCCTAGGATTTTCGTAACTCGTGGCGGCAGCTGGAGATGCAAATGCGTTATATGACCGTCATATGACGGGCACCTGACTAGGCATTTATGAAAAATTGTCATTTATAAAAAATTGTCAAAAATTAAATGGGGGAAATTTCTATGGAATTTTTATTAGAGATGCAAAATGACCGTCATTTTTCGGTGGCGTCATATGACCAAAAATGACAAGTATGTGACGCTCAAATTGAAATAAAGGGAAAAAATGGGGAAATGGAAAATGAGAAAAATTGAATGGGGGGAATTCCTATAGAATTTTTATTAGAGTAGCAAAATGACGGACATTTTTTTCAATCGTGTCATCTGACCGAAAATGACGGTCTTGTGACCGTCATATCACACACAAACTGAAATAAATGAAAAATAATGGAAAAAATGGAAAAAATTAAGTGGAGGAAATTTCTACTAGAGATATAAAATGACCGTCATTTTTCGATTGCGTCATATGACCAAAAATGACCGTCACGTGACGCACAAACAAAAATGCATAAAAAAATTGGAAAACGGAAAATAGAAAAAATGTCTCTGAAATTTACGGTCACATGACGTGACCGAAAAAATGCCGGTAATTTTTCATCTCCACCGAAACCCCCTAGAATTTCCCCACCCAATGCTTCCCCGCCGTCCAAAACTCCCCAGACCCCCTACATCCGCCCACTAGGGACTTTCCCCCAGCCTACGTCACACCTACAGTATCGTCCCCATTCACACACACATTCCCCCACACATCCCCAGACGTAACGCTACGCCATAGTTCATGCATAATGGTGATGCCAAGCAGTGCCAAGGAAAACCCCTCAGAAAACCCCGGAAATACCGAGTATTTTCCCACACCAAAAATCACCCCAACTGTGCCCCCCTCAGTGCTCCCCCTCCAGCCCCCAAACTAACCCCCCAGC